AACGATAGTTAGTATTACAGTATTAGCCGGAATTGCTTAAGACCTTCCCTAAAAGAGGAGAGTGGTTTATCAGCCTCTAAAATCTCAAATGCTTGTGCTCGGCTACATGACATAACACTGGGTTTCCCTGGATGAATAGAGAAGGGAAAGTCATGTTATCAGGATTACAATTTTTAATCTGTATAGGGCTATGAATAAAAAGTCAATTTTTGAAGGCGGAGCGGAATAGCAGAGTGAAAAATTATAGAGTATGCAGAGAAAAAAGTGATTTCCATTACTAATTTGTTAGATTGGTCGACATAAAATAAAGAAAGGATTATATCAGATGCATTGACCCTACTTTGTTTAAGGTGAAGAAAGATTGGTAGCTGAAATTTCCACCAATCATATGAGTAGAGCTGAGGCCAGACATTTACCCATATCACATTGTTCAATGAGATTTTTGATGAGGCAAAGTTATATTTGCTATGACAATCGACTAAATCACTTATTTTTTGCTATGGTTTCGAGACTATCTTTCAATCAATTATAATAGATGTAGTCACGCTGTTCCGCTTAAGGTGAAGAAGCACTAGATTGCGATGCGACGGCATTCGCAGCAGTGTAGCTTAGTAGTTAATGTATCAAGAATACATGATGCACTGTCATGGATCGACTCCCGCTGGAGGTCCAGCCAAGACTAAGAGAGCTAGAACCGGCAGTCCACCCTAGATGATAACAACTTTTGAGTAAGCAAGACTAGGTGAAATTTAATCGAGACGTCAGCTCTACTCATATCATTGTTGAAAAATTCAACTACTAGTCCTTTATCCCCTAAAACGAATTTTGGTAAATACCTCTCATATTACTGATTTACTGGTAGTCTCGAAACGATACTTAAATGCGAAAAATAAACTAACGTAGTCGAGTGTTTTAGCAAATATACGTTTGATACTTCGACAATCCCACCAAAGAATATGATATGGCAAAAGGCTTGGTCTTCAACGAAAGTAATATTTGCCCTCTGACCAATCGGCAATCGCGGCAATGAGGCGGAGTGGTTAACTTGTCAAGCTCCCATTCTGCACTTTCACGGTTTAAATCCTGCTGGGGTGTTGATAAGACCGATGTGAGGTCGAAATTGCAGTCCATCCAGAATGAGAACAACCTTGGGAAAAGCAAGGCTATGTAAAATTCAATGGAAAAGTCAGCTCTACTCAACAATGGATGAATTTATATCCTATAATTTATTTACGGGTAGTCACGAGACCCTTCTTATAAACTAAAGATCTGGATTATTCATAGACTCACGTGGTCTTAGTGTTAAATATAGCTGGAACATGGTCATGCACGTAATGTAACAAAACGTACCGTTGTAATGGGGAGGTATATGAGGAGGTCATTACAAACTATCAGGGTAAATCTTTAAACGAAAAAGATAAATTGAAGATGTGAAGACCAAGATGTTGTGGCCTCGGGTATGGTCGCAGACAAATGTTTGGAAATGACTCCTCGAGGGCTTCTTATAATTTATTTAATGACTTCAACCCCCTTGCATGCCAGATTATGTATTATAAACGAAAAATTCGTAAGCTTAATTAAATACCTTCTGATGAACGTTTTAGAACAATATAGCGATTGCATCTTACTAAATTATTGTTATGAGAAATCGACGTGCACTTGTCTTCATAATCAATTAAAAATACACTTTTCCAGCTCTTAACGTGTTTGTTGAAATTTAGCTCGAAATCGGACGTATTGGTTGCAAGCTTACGTGAACTTCAATAGGATTGGAAAATTAAATCTAGAGACATATAGCTTTACTAGATAAAATTCATCACTAAATTAACCTTAATAATTTCAAATATCATTATATGAATTAGTAAAGTACTTTTCTAATAAAAAAAAGTATAAAAAAAACGTTTTAATTTTTATACTTTTCAGTGCTAATATAATCTACATCTAGCGGTCTAAGTGAATGGATCTCATCGAGCTTTGCTTCCAGCTCGCTGAAGAGGCCCTTTATTCCGATGAAGTTCCGATAGCTTGTGCCTTTTTATTTAATGGAAATATTGTTTCTAAGGCACGAAATGAAGTATGATTTCGGTTTATTTTTATTCAGGTAAATGTTAGTAAAAATGCTACTAATCACGCAGAGATTATTGCAATTCGTCGGCTAGAAGAGTACTGCAGAAAAAATCTGTTAAATTTGGATGAATTCGTACCAAGGCTGACTCTTTTTGTTACCGCTGAACCATGTATAATGTGCACATCTGCACTTCGCACACTCTTTAAGTCTCCTCCACTCAAGTAATTTATCTATTCAATATTAAATAAAGAATTATCTTTGGTGCCAGTAATGAGCGATTTGGCGGATGTGGTTCTGTCTACAATCTTGATGTTCTTGATATGAACTTACCCCAGCTTAGCTGCGTAAAAGGCATTGAGGAAAAGAGATCTATTGATTTATTGAAAAGATTTTATCTCACTGAAAACGTGAATGCACCTATTTCCTTGAGGAAATTAAAACGCTGACCTTGTGACTTATATTCTAGTCAAAATTTCAACAATTTATGCGAAACATTATTTTTTAAGACTACGGGCATTCTTCTATTTTGAATTTCATGCATGCAAATTATTATATGTAAATTTCATTTATACCTAACTCTTTGAATGTTATTTTGACTTATGAGTTTTAGGCCTATTTTTCCGTCCGATTTTATTCCTATTTATTAGTAATGCGAATAAATTTTTTACACGGCTGTATCTGATCTGATGGGTTCTTATTTCAAGTTTTACTGTCTCTAAGATGATGCTAGTGACATGGGCTTCACCCATATGCTCTTTTCATCATACCTAAATTTGTCAAACCTCTTTTTTTGAACATTTCTGTATTTACCAGGGTAAATGCATGCAAACATTTTCATTTCTATTTTCGTGTGTAGGTTTTCGAGACTACTAATAAATAGGATATATGCGTTGTGTTCACTATATTTCATTTTCGGTAATGAAAGAATGCTAGTTGAATCAACGCTCAATTATATGAGTAGAGTTGAAGTTTCCAATGAATTTCACATAGCCTTTCTCTCACAAAAGTCGATCTCATCTAGGATAGACTGCAGCCTCGACCTCGCATAGGTTTTATCACCACCCCAAGCGGGAGTCGAACCATGAAATTGCAGCATGTAAGCTTGACACGCTAACCACTACGCCGCATCTCTACGAGGGCCTTTAGGTCACAGGGTAGATGTCAATTTAAAGGAATGTCAGAAATTTTTCCATATCACATTCCTTGTCTGGATTGTCGGCGAAAAAAATTTATATTTGCTATAGCAATCGACAACATTACTTCTTCTGTAAGTGGGCGGAGTTTTGAGAT